CACACACAGCTACATAAATGGCTCTAAGTGCATTCATGTGTTGAATAAACAAAGATTACATGTTAATGTTTTGTTAGTACCCTTATTTCATTGTGTTACATTTCACCCCAGGATATGTTACAACTAACCCAGACTATGGGGTTAATTGTAACATTTCACTCTTTGTGTTTGAGGCCATACCATGCAATGGGTAATTGTGCTGCAGAGAAAATAGCTGCACTATTTAATAGCCGAGACATGTAAATACTTTGCATTACATTTTGAATCCACTACCTTAAAAGAGCTCCAATTTACAGACAGAAATGTCAAAAATGTTACAACTATCCCCGGTCTCCCCACCGCCCCCCCCCCCCCCAAAAAGAAAAACACAACACACCACAAACCTAAAGCTTATATCCCTTTTTCACTACTACTTTTAACACTATTTAAATAAAATGCATATATGCATATATTTGTGAATCATACACAATTGTCTTAAGTATTGCTGGTAATTTGCAGCAGTTTTTTTTTTTTACAAATACCTGTTAAGTACTGATTTTTAATCATGACTTTATTGTTATTTCAATAGTAACCAAGGGTGCAAAAGTGATGGAAAATCAACATCAGAATTCAACAGTGATTCAATATCAGAATCTGACGCTGCTTCAACATTAAAAAAGGGTGCTAGAGTGACGTTACCGTCAGATTTCAACATTGATTCAATAGAATGACCTGATATTGACTAAACATTGTTTCAATGTCTCCTTGCTATCTGGGTACACACACACACACACACACACACACACACACACACAAAAGGAAATGAAACAAAAGATTAAGCAAAATTAAAACAATGCAGACACATCAATAAAACAACAAAAAAGCAATTACCACATGTCAGGTAACATAGCTGGAAATCTCAGATAATACTGCACCTGTATACTAGAGCTGCAAGATGTTCAAAAATACATCATATCTGTTTTTTGGCCTTTGTTCAAATGATTACAACTCTTCATTTCTGAGGTCCATCTGCTATAAATAGACTTCTATTAACTTTGCTTGGTGTTTGCTTACAGATCCACTGACCTTTGTCACATTTCCTAGTAAACTCAGTTCAGGATCTGAAGGAACAGTGATTCCCATGATATGAGTTAATGTACAGTCGCTTGCAAAAGTATTCGGCCCCCTTGAACTTTTCCACATTTTGTCACATTACAGCCACAAACATGAATCAATTTTTTTTGGAATTCCACGTGAAAGACCAATACAAACTGGTGTACACGTGAGAAGTGGAAAATCATACATGATTCCAAACATTTTTTACAAATAAATAACTGAAAAGTGGGGTGTGGTAATTATTCAGCCCCCTTTGGTCTGAGTGCAGTCAGTTGCCCATAGACCAGGGGTGGGCAATTCCAGGCCCCGAGGGCCGCTGTCCTGCAGGTTTTAGATCTCACCTTGGGTCAACACACCTGAATCACATGATTAGTTCGTTACCAGGCCTCTGGAGAACTTCAGGACATGTTGAGGACCTAATTTAGCCATTTAGATCAGCTGTGTTGGTTCAAGGACACATCTAAAACATGCAGGGACATCGGCCCTCGAGGCCTGGAGTTGCCCACCCCCGCTGTAGACATTGCCTGATGAGTGCCAATGACTAAATAGAGTGCACCTGTGTGTGATCTAATGTCAGTACAAATACAGCTGCTCTGTGACGGCCTCAGAGGTTGTCTAAGAGAATATTGGGAGCAACAACACTATGAAGTCCAAAGAACACATCAGGGATAAAGTTGTTGAGAAATTTAAAGAAGGCTTAGGCTACAAAAAGATTTCCCAAGCCTTGAACATCCCACGGAGCACTGTTCAAGTGATCATTCAGAAATGGAAGGAGTATGGAACAGCTATAAACCTACCAAGACCAGGCCGTCCACCTAAATTCACAGGCCGAACAAGGAGAGCGCTGATCAGAAATGCAGCCAAGAGGCCCATGGTGACTCTGGACGAGCTGCAGAGATCTACAGCTCAGGTGGGGGAATTTGTCCATAGGACAACTATCAGTCGTGCACTGCACAAAGTTGGCCTTTATGGAAGAGCGGCAAGAAGAAAGCCATTGTTAACAGAAAACCATAAGAAGTCCCGTTTGCAGTTTGCCACAAGTCATGTGGGGGACACAGCAAACACGTGGAAGAAGGTGCTCTGGTCAGATGAGACCAAAATGGAACCTTTTGGCCAAAACTAACACTGCACATCACTCTGAACACACCATCCCCACTGTCAAATATGGTGGTGGCAGCATCATGCTCGGGGGGTGCTTCTCTTCAGCAGGGACAGAGAAGCTGGTCAGAGTTGATGGGACGATGGATGGAGCCAAATACAGGGCAATCTTGGAAGAAAACCTCTTGGAGTCAGCAAAAGACTTGAGACTGGGGCGGAGGGTCACCTTCCAGCAGGACAATGACCCTAAACATAAAGCCAGGGCAACAATGGAACGGTTTAAAACAAAACATGTGTTAGAATGGCCCAGTCAAAGTCCAGATCTAAATCCAATCGAGAATCTGTGGCAAGATCTGAAAAGTGCTGTTCACAAACGCTGCCCATCTAATCTGACTGAGCTGGAGCTGTTTTGCAAAGAAGAATGGGCAAAGATTTCAGTCTCTAGATGTGCAAAGCTGGTAGAGACATACCCTAAAAGACTGGCAGCTGTAATTGCAGCAAAAGGTGGTTCTACAAAGTATTGACTCAGGGGGCTGAATAATTACGCACACCCCACTTTGCAGTTATTTATTTGTAAAAAATGTTTGGAATCATGTCTGATTTTCGTTCCACTTCTCACGTGTGCACCACTTTGTGTTGGTCTTTCACATGGAATTCCAATAAAATTGATTCATGTTTGTGGCTGTAATGTGACAAAATGTGGAAAAGTTTAAGGGGGCCGAATACTTTTGCAAGCCACTGTACCTCAGAGGTCATACTAGAACGGGGGCACCTTTGTACAAAGCCAGGTAAAATATCTCTATCACTCTTAAAAGGTAGAGACTTCAAGATTGGGTAGATGTCATTTCTGTGGTGTGAGGTACAATTAAAGAAGAAAGCTTTAATGAACAAGTCTCAATATGCAATTAAAATTGGTATTGAATAACTATTGAAGGAATAAATCTGATAAAAAGCTCTGGTGAAGCTTTTTTATCTAATCTTTTTCTTCTCTCACCCCAACCGGTCGCAGCAGATGGCCCCGCCCCTCCCTGAGCCTGGTTCTGCCGAAGGTTTCTTCCTGTTAAAAGGGAGTTTTTCCTTCCCACTGTTGCCAAAGTGCCTGCTCATAGGGGGTCATATGATTGTTGGGTTTTTCTCTGTATCTATGAAGCGCCTTGAGGCGACTTTTGTTTTGATTTGGCGCTATATACATAAAATTGAATTGAATTGAATAAAAGATATTCCATTGATGCTATGTTTAAATCCACCTGCTGAACGAGTCCCTCTATTTCATGGCCTATATTTGCTCTGAGAAAAGATTGCAACTGCAAATAACATAAAACTGTATTATTGAAGAGATTGTATTTCCTCTCCAGTTGTTCAAGGACATGAAATGTCCATCTTCACAATAGTGTTATTTATCTAATCTTTTACCTTTCATCAGTGCTCAGTGTCAACTTTCTGACTTTCAATGCCAAGAGGCATTTATGCCAAAGGCACTAGGTGTGCTCCACAGTGCTATTGCCACATGAACCCTTTGACAGTCAAAGTTCATCCTATTCACAGAATGTATGGGAGGATCCTTGTATGCAGGTGGTATGTTAACAGCTTCAAAGTGTTGTGCATCTAGTCCCAGAGGCTCAAAAAGACGTGTTTCCTAAATTATCCAGATTTTGCTTTAAAGAAAGTTAACATTGGTGCAGAAGTTGAATAATTGTGCAGCTACTTTAATCGAATTAGCTACGTTGGTGAACATAACTCTATTTTCAAATCTGCAGCTCCTGAAGGCCCAAATACAAAGTTTTAATTACAAATCTGGTCAAAAAGTGCACTGACACATGCACATTAATTGGAATTTAGGCCTTAAGCAATTTGCTCTCCCCTTTCCCTCATCGTCCAGTTATATTCCATCACGGCGTGTAATTACCTTTAACTCTATTCTCTCTTGTAGTTTCTGCTTTTTGTCTCTGTCCTGGCTTTCCCTGTATAGCTCTGCAGGTATCGCTGGCTCTGCAGCTGCACGTTTCTTATCTGCAATTAATGGTCCAACTGACGGAACAAGTGTTTATTTTTCTGTTGTAATCTCTACTCTCCCCACGCTTTCCTTACTCCGTGGCAGATGGTCTCTGAAAAAAATGAGTTTTTCCTCCCATGTGCAGGTAAATAAAGTTTTTTTCTTCCTTCTACAGCAAGGACAAAACGTATGGTGTAGAACTATTGAACTAACTACAATGAACTATTTTGGAATAGCTGTCAGCAATCAAGAATAAATATTTTTAGTAGTGAAAATATATATATTTTTAAATCAGATCTGCTTAAATCAATGCTGCCGTTTCTATTTTCTACTTGTTCACAATAATTCATGGTTTTCAACTTTAATCTATCACCCAGTCTGTCAACAGAGAAATTACCCGTGATCTTAATCTTTTATGTAGAGTTGTGTGCGCACTTGAACCAAAAACATACGTCTGCTCTCTGCCATAACAGTTATGAAAACTATACGTGTTTTAACACATACTCTTTCTACGAGCCACAGAAAGGAATTCACTTTGAAATTCTTTCCACATGCTGGAGTTTACTTATATCACACTGAAGGGAAAACCTAGAATTTACTACGACAGAAAACACTCGCCATGTTCGTAATGGCTGATTGGAGAAAATAGTCATCTATGCCTTTAGAAAGGTGGAGCATTGCTGCTGGCTCTGTGGTAATACTTTACTATGCAATGCAAATACCTATCATACAAGTAATACACCTAACAGTGTAACAGATAGCTTTCTACAAGGAAGGATCTCAGTAAAATAATAACTCACATCACTTTATTAGGTACACTTGTCGTTGACAACTTAAACCTTTAATCACCCAATCATATGGCAGCAAGTCAATGCAAAAGGTCACCTGGTCTGATCAGCAACACTTAAATATGGAGTAAACGCCAAAGCACAAAGAGCTACAGACGTTGCAGTCACATGAATGAAAATTGACGCCAAAGCACAGGAAAGCATTAAAATCTTTATTTTTGTATAATTGTTCTCGAACAATTCTCTCTCTCCTTTAGACTAAACATGCAACTGAATTTCTCTATATTTCTCTCTCATTATATCTATCAGTCAGCAGGGATGCCAGAGACATTCTGGACCATAAACAGCAGCTTGTTGCTTGTAGCGACAGCTCAGCAGTGATGAGGAAGCCCCATGTTATAAAAGGCGGAAGGAAACAACACAAGGCACATGAAGTTCTTTAAGACTCACACTCACTATTTACTCGTACTTCCAGTTGCTAGTTGGTAAATATAAAATATAAGCAAGTAATCATTGGTCGAGTATATTTAGAGATATAAAGATTCAAGTATTGCAGGTTTAAAGCTACAAAGCATGACTCTGAGTCAGCCAACTACATAGTGGACTACTTTGCCTGAAATAATACCCAGCTGTATACTAAATCATCATGATCCACAAGGTTTTGGAGACGTCCTACTACTTCAGGCTGCAATAACCATTATTTATTTTAACAATGAATACATGACTAGTGCAATGCAAAGTGGTCTGAGCTACAGATAATCATCACCTACCTTTTCAGTTCTGCTCCATGGAGCATTTTAGCATCTTTCAGCCCATGTTTTGATAGTCTGGCCTATTTCTCAGGAGTTAAGAAGCAAAGCGTGGAGTTGTATGCATTAGACTTGCATTCTTTGTGTGATGGCCCAAACAATAAAGTAATTAATGTAACTTTAAATTACAAAAAAAAAAGTTTAAGTAAACCAAAATAAAAGGCTCAATGTAACTGAAGCAGCGTGGCTTTCATTTCTGTTAACACAGATATGTCTCTAATAAAACAAACCTAAGCAGCTGAGACGGACCTGAAGCCATCAACTTATATCTTATCCAAGCACAACTAAAGTTTTTTATGTTTCTAAGCTGAATTGAGGAAGCCAAGTTATTGTTTAAGACGATTACATGAAGACCACCGTCATCCTGCCAATCACATTTTCTCGGTCGGTTTAACTACAAAGAGGCATCCAGTGAGATCCATCACAGAGTGCACATCATATGTTACAGCTTCTCTCACATTAATGACATCACAGCGCTCTCAACTAAGGCATCTCTTCACACACAAATATAAAGCAACACATGTGACATAAAAACTGATTTCTGGCAGAGAAGCAGCACATTACATTTGATATGTAGAGAAGACTGTTCCATATTCATGGAAGCAGGACACTGACAGGTCTGTGACTGGCTCCTTCACTCCTCACTGTAAATGCTCCTGAGATCTGCGAACGGGCAGACGTGTCCTCCTGCTGTTCAGTCGTCACTTTCACTGCCTGATTCACTCAGCTGAAGGTCATTTTCTGCAGCAGACGGACAGACAGCAAGTTAAGATTATATACATGTGTCGCTAAAGCTCAGTTTACTCTTTGCACAGGGTCTCTGCATCACTTTTGTATGGTACAGTTTGGTTTGTTTCACCTCTCCCTTTTATTATTCAATTACTACAACAGTAGTTTATAACTTTGGAGGTGAAAGAAATCATACAATTAAACACTTAAAAAAATTACGAATAATCAGACTAATAGAAATGAATAAACAGATAAAGGAAACACACGAACAAGAGAAACCTACGGAGAATTTACAGAGATTATCTTGGAAAACCAAAATGTGTTTGACACATCCCATAATTCTGACCACAAAAGCCAAAGACAAGACAGGTGTAAAGAAAAAAAAAGGACAAAACAACACTGAATAGAGTGCGTGAAGCAGCTACTAATGTGAGTAATGAATACAGTCGATGGTGGAAATACGCTGCAGGTAGAGCTGGGCGATATAAATTGTTTTCATATCACGATAGGGTTTTTTTTTCCATTTCAGGCGATAACGATATCGATCACGATATAAGCCAAATAACTATATTTGTAAGATTTAAATGTGCCGTTGCTCACAAGTAAAATGTGAAATAATCAGCAGCTTGTTTTTATTGAAATATTTATTTCCCATAATAAGTTCAACAGGGTAGATGTAACTTAAGGAACATGAGACTTTTTCGGATAAATAAAGGCAAATATTGCAAACTACACAAAAGGCAGCCGCTAAAGCGTTTAAGTTTCAAAATAGAACAAACGAAACAGACTAAATTGTCAATTCCACTTAGAAACAAAATATTAATTCTAAAAATAAATCTTAGTTTGTTTTACAGAAGAACAGACAAAACTAACTTTTGTCAATATCAAATAAACTGAGAACTAAAAGGAAATTCTCAGTCTCTCCTTGTTGTATAGCTGAGCTTTTCAAACAGTTTTAACAGTTACTTTATTCTGACAAAAGCCGAATGACGAATTAGCGCTTGCAGTCAGAGACTGAGCTGCACCGCTTTATTGTATTACCAGACTTGCTTCCGGCACAATTTACAGTGCACGCTACTCTGTTTTTGTCAGACTTGAAATAGCCGAAATACCTTCACACTACGGAACTTCTATGGCTCTTCCGTTCGACAATCTCTCCGGCATTGGAACCATCATCTGTTTTCTCTTCGGTAACCTTCGGTCACGCTCGGTTGATTTTTCACACTCATTTCCTCCATTACCCGGGCAGCACGGCGGCTGGCTGCTTCCCAAACAAATACACATGTGCGGCTTAGCACTTGTGCTGTACGTAACAAGTCATGTGACGTGATGCTGCGGCTGTGATTGTTTCCACTCTGCGCTACTTAATTTGGATTCGTTGTTCTTTTTTTTTCTTCTTTTTTTTTTTTTTTTAAAGAGGACAAGAGAGATGAGGCCTATCAGAATAGTTTAATCTTTCTATCGAGAAAAAGTTATTTCGCAATACATATCGTTCTATCGCCCAGCTCTAGCTGCAGGGTTATCCAGTTAGCCAGACGCTTTAATAACCGTCAACTACAAAGCTATGTGAACTGACTGACATGTGGATGGAGCTTAAGAGCTCCAACTGCTTTCACACTGGGTGGCAATAATGAGAACTGCCACTAAAGAGAGAACCTGCCCTTACATGTTATAATGGAAAACTAATCTTTCAGCTCTGTGGTGCGTATGATTCATGTGTTCATATTTATGGTGACAACTTTAACTTAGGAGCAACCAGGTGGTATCGACTTTCATGTAAAGATGACGTCCGTCTAACTTAGATGAAGCTGAGGGGGTTACTCACTGAGCGTGTTCATGAGTCCTCCTCCACTCTCGTGGTGGTGGCTGTTGGAGTCGGTGCTGGTGATGATAGGCATGCTGTGGTTGACTGAGGGTGCCGTGGAAGTACGTTCATCTTCTGAATCGCTGCTGCTGGAGCTGTCGTCGCTGCTGGAGGACGACGAGCTGTTAGAGTCTGAGGAGCTGTCACTGCTGCTCATCTGATCCATGACTCGAGCCTCGGCCATCAGTTCTGGGGGGGGGAGAAAGAAAAAAAAGACAAGGGTGTTAAAATGATCTTGGTTCCCTTTCCAATTTCAAGGCTGGAACATCACCTGTATGTCCCAAGTGTAAAATAAATACAGGCAGTCTTTTATTCCACCTTTTGTCCAGCCCCAAAAATGCAGAAATATCCAAAACAAATATATCAGAAAATCATTTCATGTTCTAATGTCCTCTGCCAGGGAAAGCATGCTACTTTAGTGTATCTCCATAAAACTCTGACAAGCTACAGGTTTATTTTGGATCACATCCAATGTGACTTCATAACTAGAAAATGTGTTTCAAGTCAAGTCAAGTCGGCTTTATTGTCACTTCAACCATATACAGTTTAACAATACACAGTGAGGCGAAACAACGTTCCTCCAGGAACCAAGGTGCTACATGCAACATAAATTTACAACATAAATTAACAGAAAACACTAAACTAGCTAACTAAGAGGCCTAGTTAGCTGGCTAGCAGAGACAAGACAGACTGACCTAACATAAATTACAACATAAATTAACAAAAAAAAACTAAGGAAGACTTTTTTTTTTTTTTTGTTATCAGACAGCAGACAACAAAGTGCACGTGCAAATGTGCAAACAAGAGCAGCAAAGTGACAGAATGTTTGTGAATATGTCTGATATTTCTAGGGATCGGAATCAAGAACTGGTTCTTCTAGAGAATGGGTTCCCAGTAGACCAAGTCCTGGAAATCCTAAGTCTGCCTGCGTATCAATCCTGCTTATCGGCTCTTGCACTCTCGCTACAATCGGCTGATTTCAGTTCGTGTGCTGGAGGAGAAAAATAATGGCGCAGTCTGCAGTGTGGATATGGACATTACTTAGCTAGCCAAGAACTGAGAGTGATGTTAAAGCTGAGTGAATGCTCACCCACACTTTAAAAAAAAAAGTGTTGTGTGTAATATGTGTAATATCTTTGATATGCTGCTTAGAGAGGGTGGTGACAATGAGCCAATGAGAACTGAATCAATAAGTGATATTAATAATGGAATTGGAATCGTTAAATTCTTATCAATTCCCATCCTTAAACATTTCTGCATAAGACTTCAAGATATGACGACTAATTTGTCTATGAGAAAAGATGAGTCTTCTTCTGCCGAACCCAATAAAAATGATACAGATGTGGATGTCATCAGTTAAACACACCAAGTGTGACTCCATGTTACCTCTCTCGATGTCATCCATTGGGGATGCTGGGGAAGTCTTCTCTTTTGGTGGAGAACTTTTAGTGCTGGCTGGGGTTTTGTTACTGCTGCTGTTATTACTCCTCATCTGCTGGCCCAGACGACTGGTCTGCTGCTCCAGTCGAGAATGAATCTTACTGCTACCTTCAGCCCTGAAAATCCACAAGAACAGGCAAACACGGACACGCAGGAGCTTTTAATACGTTTTTTTTTTTCTTTTTTTAAAAATGTTGATAACTAACCTTTCGTTAGGGCTGCCACAAACGATTATTTTGATCGTCGACTAGTCACCGATTATTTTTGCGATTAGTCGACTAATCAGATCATGCATCTATTGGTTGTAAAACGTACAGCTTACTGCACCAGCATGCATCTGCTCTTATATAACTATCATTAGCTTACAGCTTTAAGAGTTTAAGGTATGTGCTAACTAAAAATAAAGACAAGATGATAGTTTATTAAATTTTAATGAAATTTGCAGATTGTTTCGGTGAAGTTTAATAAACTCAGCCGTCTGCTCCTTGCTATCTAGCTTGACGTTTATTCAGCCAAACCGATTTACTCAGGAACAAATAAAATACTGAAAAAAGCCAAACAATAACATTTTTAAATTATCTAAGTGACTTAAATATCATGTTTAACCTGAGTAGCGAAAGACGGCGGTGGGTTTGAAAACAATTTGCCGCGAGTCCGGTGTTCTCACGGGTTCTAGTGAGCCTTGCCCCCGCTAGCTATCGAGCTAGTGGGGAACAGACGTCTCCAAAAACGTCGGAGCGCTTTTGAAAATATGTGATGTCTTAATAAACTGAGCAGATATTTGAGGTTTACACAGCTACATTCTCGCCTGAAAATATGTTAAACGCTTATTTTGTGACCCAGAAAGAATAATAAGAGTAATATTAAAACTAACTAGCTACCGCCATTGTTGGAAACTAAGCTGGGCCGCGCTATGAATTCTGGGATAGGTTGGGCCACGAAGTATACACCTGACCCACCCTTCAAATCTGGGGAAATGAAGGACTATTAAATTAGTCATTGACGATTTTATTAGTCGACGTAATTGTGACTAGTCGACTAATCACGGAAGCCCTACCTTTCATTCTTTCAAATTTTTTTGCCACACAAATTTGCAAGGTTAAATGAAATACCACTTTAGATTAGTGTGCTACTTCTTTTTAACCCCACCTCGTCTTTTTCACAGCTATGTTGCTGTTGAGCTTCTCGAGTCTGTACTCTCCTGTGTCATGGTTTACAATGAGGATGCACTCTTTCATGTAAGGCCTCTTGGATCCCTTGAAGACCGTTACAGGAGCACTGGAACCCTAAAAAGCAAAATAAATGTAAGTATGTATGTATTTAAGCTAGATGTCACAGTACTATTATGCTATTTTTTCAGAGAATATTTTAACAATTTCTCAAAAAATCTGTCAAAAATTTAAACCACAAAGCTGAAAATTTTGTTGCTCCTCTCTCTCTCTCTCACACACACACACAGAAAGTTGAGATTAGCAACAGTTGAGATCTATTGTGGATTGCAAACACTCATCCAAGTTAAAAACATGAGCTCCAGAAGAGGTCTTGAAACAAGATTGCACCATAATCCACCACTGAAATCCACATTTATGTCTTGCAGTGTAAAGGTCTGGAGCACCAGACACTAACCTCTAAATTAGGCAACGTAATAGTGACTTGCTCTCCTTTGCCCACTTCGAGCTCCCCCTCACATGAGGTATCAATGGATGCTGGCTTGAAGTCATCTGTGGCAATTAAAAACAACAACATTTTTTTTTTTTAAAACGCAAACGAAAATCAAGATTTTGTAAAATAACACATACGTAAACAATGTATATGTACATCACATATAACAATGTGTACAATGTTCTAATAATGACAGTGACATTGCTGAATTTGTAAACGTAAACCACGGATGTATTTGACAGTGCTGCAGTGGGGTAACGGCACCAGCAGGTGGTAGTGTTGCACAGACTTAAGCTGGGCTAACATTATCTAGCATATTGACAACTCAGAGCTTAAAGTCTACGTATATCTCAGAGTTAACTTACTACATACTTTTACAAGCATGTCTCACCAGTAAGTCGACAGCTACGAACTGACGAAGCTGCTAAACTGGCTACACACCAAACAGCTGTTTTCGGATCTTCAGCTAATGAGCTAACTAGCATGCTACGGTTAGCGATCACAAAACCAAACGAGTGAAACCACCACTTACATCGCACTGTGTGATAGGCACTTTTAGGGTGTTTCTCAAACGTTTCTCCCAATTTCAGCACATGTTCTTGATTGTCAAAGTTGGAGTAAGCCGTTCCATTCATTCTGTGAGTTTCATGAGCTGTAAACTTTGAGTTTCCGCTTGCTCTTTTTTATCCGATAACCATGTACAGCAACAGCATTTCGGCCAGCTCATTGGCACTTTAAGTCCCGCCCCTTCAAAAGTACTGTTCGTCATGATTCGTCAAGCGAAGTGTTTCATTTTCTGATTGGTTCAGGCCAATCAAGATTTTGACGACAGGGCAGAATCAGTGAAAGAACGGCCACTCAGTTCCGAGCAATGACTGTAGAAATCTGAGTGTTTCCAAATCTATGTTGTTTAACTATAATTCGATTAAATTATTCGCTAACTTTTAGTAGTTTTTAAAGGAAAAAAATATTGTAAATATCTACTCATCTTGTCCCAGGCTAGACAGACTGTGGACGAGTATGCTAAATAATTGATGGTAATTATTTCAAATTTATTGCTGTGGTGCTTTAATAGTGAAACATATTGCAGGGTTTACTCTGAGGTTGCTTAAAATGCAGTCCACATGTAAAACAAAACACGAATTCCTACTGCTTATTTTTAATATGTTAACTTTATAAGTTTCGATGTTGTTTTTAACCTGTTTTTCTGTTTAACAAAGTAAATATTTGCATTTCAGCACTTACCCAGTACCTTGTATGCTAAATTAGCAGCATCACGGGAGCTATTAGCTGGATAACTGAAACAATGTGTCAGAAAGCCCTGGCACTTACTGATTGGAGTTTCAAGCTCCACAGGCTTCAGGGGGCCTGAGCTCTCTGAACCTTGTGTCAGTGAAAATCTCCTTTTCTGTTCTCTAAACTGTTAATGACTCCTAAGCCTCCTAATTCCTGCCGTGCCTGCGTTTTTACAAAGGCCATATGCTCTGCTGCCTTCAAACATTAAAGGATCAGCATCTAAGTCAATTGGAATGATTACACCAATGCATTTTCACCAACTGGTCACAGCATGGTTTTTCTTATCCACGTTGGACAACATATATATATGCAAGCTGGTGTTTGGGTGGTGGGGAGTGGAATAAGAGAGGAAATTGAGACAGCAGTGGGACTAAATAGTTATCTCTTCAGCGTGGTATTACAGTTAGAGTATAAAAATTGTAAAATAGTTAAACATTATCATGTTATTTTAGGCAATCTTTTTCAGTCTTATCTATACTTGAAAATTAACCACAAACGGATTGCAGAAGTAAAGCAGTTCAGTTACTTTGTATCTGTATCCCATGTGAAAAAGATACCAGCATAAGTCTGTCTCCATGGATGGAGGTAAACAGCAGCTGTCCTCTGGTGATATCAGTTACTGTGGGGGTTGCCCCTGGACTCTGCGAGGTAAGGTTCACTGTTTCCAAGCAACAATCTGCAAGTTCACAATACAGCGGCTGAGCCACAATAGAGAGTTGCTGCAGGTTGTAAGCCAGTGGCAGTGGTGAAAGAGATGACAGCAACACTCTGCAAGGGAGTGGGGGTGGGATACAAGCTCAACCAAAGCTATGTACTATGGGTACAGGCTTGTTGGGTACATACAATTAAATGTTCAACCTCATAACAGTGCAAAAATAATAAATTAGCAAAGGTTTTATTATTGTGCCAGCTAAACAAACCTGATTCGGTTACAAGACACCACAACTTGATGTAAGCCAAATCCAGAAGGCTGTGGATACATCCGCAAACGGCACAGATAAATCTATCTAAGTAACTTTAGCAATCACATTTTCAGACCTTCACATCATCAATAAAGTTCACATTTAATACATTATTACATCTGATTATATAATCCACCTTTTGGGAAACTCCTGAAACACGTGAAAAACTAAGCACAATTAAGCATTCAGGTTTTTTAATGACTAGAAGTGATTATTCTGCAGTAAAGGAAATGGGACGCCCATTCCACTTTTCTCATAGTGCACAGCTCGCACAATCGTTTTTGAAACTGCAAAGGCAACAATACAACCTAAATGATCACAGCTTCAGCATAAATACAGCGATGTTAACCTTCATTCTGTATCCTTCGGGTGAAATGTACCTTTGATCACAGCTACAGACTTATCATATACTCCTTTTGTTTTTATGCTGATGTATAGTTTGAGACACGTCTTATTATCTGTGAATTACTGCAGTGTGACGGCTTTCTTTGGCTCTCGCTTTCTCTTGTTTGTGTTATACATATTACGAGGAAGCGCTTTTTGCAGCATCTTTCTTGATAATATGATTTTGATCTCAATAAAAGCTTTGACTGGGTAAAAAAAAGAAGAAGGTGAAATAATAACAGTATGCGCTGTAAGAATTTCAAATTAGATATACAGTCATGGAAAAGAAAGTTTTCACAGAATTCTATGAAAAACAAAGATTAAACCCCATTAATCACCAGCTTGCAGAACCACCTTTAGCAGCAATAACTTGAAGTGATTCCTGAAGTGAGAGTCTTACATTGTTGCAGAGGAATTTTGATTCACTCCTCTTTACATAATTGCTTCAGTTTATTGAGATTTGAGGCCATTTGTTCATACACAGCTCTCTTAAGGACCTACAACAGCATTTTAGATGAGTTGAGGTCTGGACATCTTGATTCTTTTCTTTTTCAGTCATTCTGTTGTAGATTTGCTGTTGTTCTTGGGATCGATGTCCCGCTGTATGACCCGGTTTGGACGAATCTTTAGCTGTTGGACAGATGGACTCACATTTTGCTATACAGAGGAGTTCATGACTGACTTTGTGACTGCAAGGTCTCCAGGTCCTGTGCCTGCAAAACAAGCCCCAAACCATGACATTTCCACCACCATGCACGCAGTTTCTATGATGTGTTCATGCTGATAACAAACATCTCCACTTTAGTCTTGTCTGTCCTTTGTTCCAATAATCTTGTGGTTTATTCAGATGCAACTTTGCTAACCTAAGCTGTGCTGTCATGTTTATACATACACACACACACACAAGATGCCTACAAGATGCCATCCTGCCCACTGATGCCGAGAAGACACGAAAACAGGGCGTTGTTGGAATGCTACTACGCAAGTAACCCTGGCAGAATGGGTTACATGAATAGGATGAGGGACCTATGGATTCTTCGATATCCAACATCCACAATGACGGCGAAACAACTAGTAGCTCAGTGTTCCAACATTCGAAAGATTGACGAGGTACAACATAAATGCTACGGCAAGGGGGAGTCAGGACGCCAGGTCAGGGGGGAGATATCATCACCCCCACCCGAGATTGGGTACAAAGCCCCAAGTGCGATAGGAGAAGGATCATTGAGTGCGAGAGGAACTGACCTGAAAGATAGTATCATGGTCAAGCTTGAAACCTGGATCCCCGTAGCCGGTTACCAAGATTACGTGAAGTACCCTCAGAAGGTCTGCTAGATGATGTTAATGCAGCACTACGGAATACCTACACCACGTTACCGAACTAACAAGCTGATCTACAATACGGCAGCAGTGATCAGTGAGATGCTTGGCTACAAGTTGAACAGCCACAAGGGGCAGTACCCTCCATGGAGAAGGAGGCTAGAGGGCAAGATCAAAGTAGCACGGAGGGAGGTTAGCCAACTAACGGAGTTGCAGAAAGGTGCGACAAAGAAGGTGCATAAGAAATACAGCAAGCTGTCCATACCTGAGGCCTTGGAAACTGCCAAGCAAAGACTCACAGCCTTGGCCAGCCGCTTGAGGAGGTACACCAGAGAGATAGAAGGCAGGAGAATAAACCAGCTGTTCTCCACAGAACCAGCAAAGGTGTACTCTCAGTGGCAAGGGAACAATAAGAGAACAGCACCACCAAGGCTGGAGACGGAGCAATACTGGAAGAGCATATGGGAGAAGGACGCAACCCATAACGGCAATGCTCAGTGGCTAGTGGATCTGAGGGCAGACCATAGCACCTCCTGAACAGGGTCCAGTAACCAACACAGAATCCAAGAAGGGTCTCCAGTATGAAGAGTTGGACAGCACCAGGGCCCGACATGGTTCACGCCTACTGGCTAAAGAAGCTGACTGCACTCCACGAGCAGTCTGGCAGCACAAATGAACCAGCTGCTAGTTAACGAGAGACACCCGGAATGGCTAACCGAAGGTCGGACGGTCCTGATCCCCAAGGACCCCAAGAAGGGACCGGTCCCCTCCAACTACCGACCAATAACCTGCCTCAGTACTACATGGAAGCTCCTGTCAGGCATCATATCGGCTAAGATGAACAGGCACATGGGTCAATACATGAGCGGGACACAGAAAGGATTGGCAAGAATACCAGAGGCGCAAAACACCAGCTACTGGTAGACAGAACAGTCAGCCGAGACTGCAAGACCAGACTGACCAACCTGTGCACTGCCTGGATTGATTACAAGAAGGCCTATGAATCAATGCCCCACAGCTGGATACTGGAATGCCTAGAACACGATTGCAGGTCCCGCAAAAATTCAGAAGCAGATTTGTGTCCCGAAAACGCAAAAACGCGTGAAACACGCGTCAAAGCATCGCATCTGGCACGTTTGACTTGCGAATAAAACCACGCGCGTCAGTTTTTGTGTTGCATTTTGTGCATGCGCGTTTCGTGTCTACCGCTTGAGTTGGAAAAATCTGAACTCCAGCATCAAATCGCGCTGCGACAACTAATCAGGAGCCTGGTGACGTGGCTCTGACCTAGGTCAAAGAGGCAGATCCAGCCAAAGCCCTTCATTCTTCAATGGAGGGAAGGCTAATCAACGCCGTAGCAAACAACTCGGAGCTGTACGACACCAGCTGCTTTCTGTACCGAGACAGGAATATAAAGGACCGAGCTTGGAGGAAGATATGTGAAGAGATCGGGCAACCTGGTAAGTTCATTCATTTCTCTTTTGAAACTTTTGACTGACCCGGGGAAGCCGCACAAAAGCTAGTAAGCCACCGCTATTTCCCACTGATGTACAAATACCGTTCTGCCTTCATACATGTTGTCATATAGGAATATATTTTGTTTATTAATAAACAGCACACAGTGGTCCCGCTCATCCGTCACTGCTTCGCTTTTTCGCTGATTTTTTTATTGCACCGTACAGCATTGCATTCTGCAGTCTGATTGACGAATCTGCTCCGTGTCGTGTCTCCTGCGCTTGCCAAATTTATCACGTTTGGTTTTGATAACCATCACGTC